TGGTGGTTTGAGACAGAGTCTCACTATGTAGCCCTTGTTAAGTCTGGAATTCACTTTGTACATTAGGCTAGCCTCAAACTCCATTTGTCTCTGCCTCCTAAGTGGTTTTGTTTTCTTTTTTCTTTTGACAAGGTTTCTCTGTGTAACCCTCTTACTCCAGGACTCCCTGATTTCTTACTCTGTGTCACCTGCTGAGGATCACATTGTAATGGACATGAGTGACCCCTCCTTGGCTGGGGAGTGGGAGCTCTCCTAGGACAGATACTGTGCTATCAGCTATCATCTCTGTATATGGTGCCAGAGATGTGCCTGGCACTAGGTGAACGAACCTGAATTGTAGTGATATTTTGTTTATGATCTAACAAATAAAACTTGCCTGAGGATCAGGGTGCAAAAGCTAGCCACATTAGTCAGCTCATAGAGGTCAGGCAGTGGTGGCACATGCCTTTAATCCCAGCAGCCACACTAGTTGGCCATAGAAGCTGGGTGGTGGTGCTGCACACCTTTAATCCCAGCACTAGAGAGGAATGTAAGGCAGGAACCAATGCAGTCTTCAGGCAGTCTGAGAAGGGTCTGAGCCTTGGTAGATATAAGAACTCTTTAGTGGCTTGGCTGCTTTGCTTTTCTCATCTTCAGGCAAGTTTTATTTGTTATATCATAAACAAACTATCACTACACTGAAACACCCAATCAACTACCTTGTAGGGGAAAAAAGGGTTAGCTCATTGACCATTCCTTTCAAAAGCCCTCCACCATAGCAGTAGGGTGGAGTAATTATCTCCCACAGATCCCTGGCTGTCAACTCCTGTTTTATCCTTTTCTTAAGACAGGGTTTCTCTGTGTAACAGCTCCAGCTGTCCTGGAACTCACTCTGTAGACCAGGCTGGCCTCGAACTCACAGAGATCCACCTGCCTCTGCCTCCAGAGGGTTGGGATTACAGACGTGCACTATCACCGCCCAGCTTCTGTTTTATCTTTTTCTATGAGCCGGCACATGCCAGTCCGATCTCTTATATGTAGGAGGTAGAGACAAAAGAGGCTCAAGTATGACCTATGACATGGGCTACACAGGGAGACCTGTCTCAACCCATCATCCTTACCCCCAAAACTTGCATTCAGAAATTTCAATCAACAAATAAACATAAAAAATGAAAATAAACATAAATAAGCATGCAAGGCCTTATCTCAGATGACAAGGACACCCACTGGCCTGTCTGAGGTAACTTGGTGAGTCAGAGAAAGGACCACAAAAGAAACAAAGAGACTGTGAGATGTGTCTAGAAAACCTCCAAATGTTAACCAGACACACTAGTTTCTTCTGGGATGCTTTGTTCTACGGGGTCTGTTGGTTTTTTTGGTTGAACCAGTTCTAAAGATCTGGAAATGAAAAGCAGGCTAAAATGCAGGTGTTTATCTGAAACACACTCCTACAGTACTGAGACAACACACCTCCTGCCCACCCCATACACACTTGGGTCCCACTATGGTGGCACTGATAACATTTTGCCCAGCCCTTCCCACAGTTTTGTTAAAACAAAATGTTACTTCACACTGGAGAAGACTATGAGCTTTTCAGGCATCGAGATACAAGACAGAGGCACAATACAGCACTCATCCTGGTCTGCTCTGCAGACTATTTGTAAATCGGTCTCCTACCACACTGCACGCTTCTTTTTTATTTATTTATTTTTATTACATATGTAGGGTTCTGCCTACATATACATTTGCATGCTAGCAGAGGGCACCAGATCTCATAGATGGTTGTGAGCCACCATGTGGTTGCTGGGAATTGAACTCAGGACCTCTGGAAGAGGAATCAGTGCTCTCAACCTCTGAGCCATCTCTCCAGCCCCACTGCATGCTTCTTCTTCCTTTTTTTTTTTGGTTTTTCCAGACAGGGTTTCTCTGTGTAGCTTTGGAGCCTATCCTGGCACTCACTCTGGAGACCAGGCTGGCCTCGAACTCACAGAGATCCGCCTGCCTCTGCCTCTGCCTCCCAAGTGCTGGCATTAAAGGCGTGCGTCACCACACCCAGCTCACTGCATGCTTCTTAAGGGTAGGTACTGGGTCTCAAAAGTTTTCATAATGGGTGTATGAATGAGAAGCATTGAACAAGGCTGTGAGCAACAGTGGGCACTGATGGGCGATGTAAGACCCCCTGTCTCTCACTGCCCCCAGTACTCACTGTGCATGAAAATCCACAACAACTGGTGTTTCACTGTTGACAACTCTGTCTTGAAAGTCAGGTCCATCCTGGACATTAAAGGTTGTTGAGCAGACTCTGGTTGTGTATAATGTTCGGGCTGGGCCGAATGTTCCTGTCAGACCACCAGGATTGTACTGTGGTGTCTGCAGGGCTCTAGAGGTGAGGGAAGTCCACCCACTCTGAGGGGGCTTCCTGGGGATGGCTGAGGTCAGGAACCTCCTCAAGAGAAGCCGCTGAGCCATCTGTGAGGGAAAGAAGCAGGAAGAGCTGGGCTACACAACAGAAAGTCAACATATCAGGAAAACAAAGTATTTCAAAGTACTGACGTGTTGGCAACATGCAGAGTGAGAAGCAAAATGCATGGAAATACTGTAATATAATTTTTGAGGGCCAGGACTTGTCATTCCTGCCCTCATTTGGGAGGCTGAGGCAGGAGAATATAAATCAAGGTCAGTTGGGTTATATAGTAAAACCCTGTCTCTAAAACCTCCACACCCCAACCACAATATATCTAGAGGTGAGTGAGGAATGAGGATCACAGAATAGATGTGTTAGAAGACAGAAACTAGGCTGACAGCCAAAAAAAGAAACCAAGGCTTAGGCGGAATTATAAAAGGTTGATGGAAGGAGGAACAAAGCTTAAGTGTGTTTCATGACTGGTTCTCCCAGATCAATTCTGAAGAAACTGTTTTAACACCGTTCACATTCAGGACGACCCAGGCCTCAGGTAGGTTAAGTGACATGCCCAAAGTAGCCCAGTTTTAAAAGGACAGTTAATTGGAACCCAAGGCATCTGTAGAATCTTTACTCTATCGATCGCTCTTTTAAAATGCGTTTCCATGGGAAATTAAGGAGGGAAAAGGGATAAGCAAAGAAGAATCCCAACTACGGAAGGAGGAACTAAGAAGCATGGGAACCCAGGCATGGGGTACCACAGAGAAGGGGGGATGTGTGTACGGAGGGAAACGAGAGACCGGGAGCACAGGTCGTGCGGCTGCCGAGACCAGATCCTCCCTCTCGGGTCTTCCCTCCGCTTGTGGCCGGCTTGCACAGCAGCGCGCCACCCGCGCCGCCCAGCCCACCCCGCGGGGCTCCTACCTCCCGGCAGCTAGAGCGGAGGGACGTACAGCCCAGCCGGCCTGCCCGTCAAGGGCACTCTGTTGTCACTTCCTCAGGGGCGGGACTAGCGTCATTTCCGGGAAAGACTACCCGGACGGCGTATCTTCGCAACTTGGGGGCGGTTCAGTATTTTCCACCAATGAGGATAACGGAAAAAGGTTCGGGGGCGGGTGATGGGGGGAGAAGGGAAGGAATGGGTTCCTGGAGGAAGGACCGGAAGAGGGGTGGGACCAGTGAGAGAGAGGGAGAGCAGTTGGAGGGAGGGCGGAGAGGAAGGAGTGGCTTTGGAACAAATCTCTGGGGCGTTGAACCCTGTTGGCACCGCCCATCCCTGAATCTTGTGGTTCGGGAAAGGGTTGGCATGTTGTGTTCAACTTAATACCGGGGAAGCACGCTCTGTTCCGCAGAAACTTAGTGTTTAAAGGAAGGTTGTCCCGGGCTGGGGTTGTGGCTCAATTGGTAGAGCGCTTGCCTCGCACGCATGAAGCCTGGGTTCGATTCTCAGTATCACGTAAACTGGGTGGAGGGTTCAGGACTTCAAAGTCATCCTTGACTACATAGGGAATACTTGAGACATACCCCCGACACACACACACACACACACACATCCCTACGTGGGCATCAAGGGATTGTTTTGTTGTCCTGGCTTTGTCTGCCCAACGTCATTGTCCCTAAGGGCTGGTGGTGCTTCTAAACCGTCAACCTTCTTTTTGGAATTATTGGGGAAGTCGGCTTGCCTTTGAGACCCAAGGTGAAGTGTCGTCTGTGAAGCTTGGGCCTGGGGCTTTTCTCCATTTCCACTGGCTTGAGTGACTGAGGTCTAAGTACCCTATTCCTACATACTACGGTTCTGGGAACACATTGCTGCTCATATCCTCTTCCACACCTTTGCTCATGTTGAACTTTTGTCTCTCAGTACTTAGAGCACCTGCCCATCATGTCTTCTGAATAGTTTTGCTTTCTTCTGTCTAGTGCTTGCTTTGTAACCCTTCATAGCACCTTACAGTGTCTATGCTTTCTCTAGTCTATGCTTTCTCAGAGTAGGAACTTGTGCTTATAATAAACTTATAGTCTTATGTCTGTCTCAATATTTCTCTTTTCTTCTTTTTAAACAAAAGAATAACAGTTGTTACTCATCTGCATATACTTAGCACCAACCTGGGACAGTACCCGGCCCAGAGAGGCCAGTGGATGTTTACTGTTTAGTAGATTCTTACTAAATTGAGGATCTTTGCACATTTCAGCAAATGGTGTCTGTCAAACCGTTATAAGGTGTGTCCAATAAGGTGTGTCCAAGTAGAAGCAGATAAATTGGCAGGACTCTATCTGCCACATCATTTCAACCCACTCTTTCATTAGTTAGTGGTTTGCTGAGGTGTCTCCTGTATTCTGCATCTGCAGTTGTTTCTGGAAGGCTTTTCCAGATTCCTCACTGGAGAAAAATACTACTAGGTACTCGGTTCTGCATTGTCTCTGGATCGCTTTTCTCTGTCTCCTTCAGTGGGAGGAGGACCTCCTCTTTGCAACTGTCAATCACCATTCTCCTTGCTTTGTTTTGTTGTCTGTTCCCTTCTTTTCCTTCCCCTCTTCCCACCCCTGCTTCTTGCCTGATCCTTCCCTCCCTCTTTTTCTACCCCCATTCTCTCTCCATCTCCCCTCTTATGTAGGGAACAGTGTAAGCCACTCCTGCTAGAAGCTGGCTACAGGTGTGCCTGACCACGCCTGTCAGGGCGTGGTCAAAGTGAGGTCAGGATGACGAGTGATAGGGTTTTAAGGGGCTGCAAGGCACATGAGAGCCCTTTCTCTCTGGCCTGCCTGCCTTGCTGCCCCTGGCACACTCTGGCTTGCGCTTGGCTGGTGTTTTCCTAATAAAGGATATCTTTATCCCAAGCTCCTTTTATTTCTTAATACCCTTACCCCCTTTCTTTCTTAGAGTCTCATTTATTGTAGATTAGGGTGCATGCGTGCCTGTGTGTGTGTGTGTGTGTGTGTGTGTGTGTGTGTGTGTGTGTGTGTAGGGGGAGATGTCGCTGCAAACACCATGGCCAACCGAGTAATGACCTACCTGTGTGAGGCAAGAAGGGAGCCCAGTTCAACATAACTCAGTAGCTAGTGTTGGTTCAAACTTTGAGAGTCCGACACTGGGTACTTTATTTTAGGCATGTTTAAGCACAACACAATTTGGAAAAAAAGTTCCCTGGGACAATGAACTCAATCTCATGTGCATAATAGAGCATAAGACATGAGTACCTCAAAATTCTTTGTGAAGTACATGTGATATCTTCCATAAAAATGGCTTCTTAGATTGACTACATGTGACATCTTCTGGGTCTCGGGGAGGATCTGGTGTGGTCTAGTCACAGGTAGCACAGAGGTCACCAGGCCATTAGCCACCTCCACATCCAGCCTTCTAGGTGGAAAACAGGTCATACATCTCTCTCTCCTTTTGCAGAGATAACTCCGAGTTAACATTCCTGGTTTCCATGGTGGTTAGAGGTGAGTATAAGATCCTCAGTGCCCCTTACAATGCAGTCTGTCTCCATTACTTGCCTCAGGATCCGACATAGGAGGTGCCCAGTGACTTTAGGAGGTGCAGCGGTGACCCAAATTGAGTCTTCTAACTCCAAATCCATTTTCCTCACCACATTCCAAGGCCCTGTTGTGCCCTTCCAAAACCATGGTCATGCTCTCATTCAGCTCATTTGGGTCACATTCTGTTATTATTTGTCCTGTGTCCAATTTGGCAGGTCCCAGTGCCATGCAGGGCCTTTCCTCTACAATAGATTGAGGGAAACAAGTGTACTTGCCTTAGCCAGCCACTGCCATGCCCACTGAAGGCAGACTAGGTCAGGTATGGGCAGAGTAGTCACTCTACCCTGTATGATCTCTTGTCTTACCATCTGTCCTCATCTGGCATGACAACCCATGAAGACATACCCAGGCTCCCCCATCCCCCAGGGTTCCTGGGGTCAGCCTCCTGTGCTGCAGCTGTTGCTGATAATGCCAGGCACCATCTGGCAGGGGTGCTCCTGCCCCACCTACTTCCATATCTGCTTTTCTCTGTCTCCAGCACTTTCTCTTCCCCAGCCACCTACCCATCCTATTCAGCATTTTCAACACAGTTTCTTGAGAGGCAATTTCCTTGCTTGATCCTCATTCTGAATTCTAAAGCAGGTCCAGTTCTGTTTATTCCTGTTCTATAATCACCTCACCTCTGTTGGCCCAGGCTTCTCATCTGAGAAATGAGAACAATATGCCTTCCTTTAAGAGAGGCTGTGAGCCAGGCGGTGATGGCCCATGCGTTGGGAGGCAAAGGCAGGTGAGCCTCTGAGGTCAAGGTCTGGTCTACAGATTGAGTTCCAGGATAGCCAGGGCTACACAGAGAAACCCTGTCTCAAAAAACCTGTGTGAAGGACAGGATATGGGAGCTGGCATGATGTCAGTTCCCTTTCCTCCAGCAGGTAGACAGCCCATGACACAGGCTAAGCTTCAGCTGGCTGCCAACCGGCCCCTCAGGTACTTGGTGGTACCTGTGTCCTGGGTCTGGTATACTCAGTCAGATTCAGGGCACAAGCTTGAAGCAGAGGGAAGGGAATCAGGACACACAGCCACAACTGTCTTTCAGATTACGAATTATGAGCATTATGAAATCAACACTGTGATCAGTTTAGAAATTGGTTTTTAAGATTTACTGTTCTTGGGCTGGGCGTTGGTGGCACACGCTTTTAATCCCAGCACTCGGGAGGCAGAGGCAGGCGGATCTCTGTGAGTTTGAGACCAGCCTGGTCTACAAGACCTAGTTCCAGGACAGTCTCCAAAGCCACAGAGAAACCATGCCTCAAAAAACCAAAAAAAAAAAAAAAAGATTTACTGTTCTATTTATATGTATGAGTGTTTAGCCTGCATGTATGTATGTGCTTCACGTGCCTCTGCCTGGTGTCTGTAGAGGTCAGAAGAAAGTTTTGGCTTCCCTGGAACTGGTGCTATGCAGATTCTGGGAACAGAACCTAGGTCCTTTGCAAGAGCAACAAGCGCTCTTTTAACTGCTAAGCCATCTCCCAGATCTTTGTGATCCAGTTTAAAAAAATCAAAATTAGCTCACATGGTGGCACATGTCTTTGGTACAAACACTAGAGTGGCTGAGGCAGGGGTGTCTGTGGGTTCAAGGACAATCTGGTTTATATAGTAAGTTCAGCCAGGGCTACAGAATGAAACCCTCTCTCAAAAAAAGAAAAAAGAAAAGAAGAAATACAGATCGGAATAGAAGCCTGAGATGTAATTTAGTCAGTAGAGTGCCTGCCTCTTGTGCACCAGAATCCTGGGTTTGATCCCCAGCACTGCATCATGGTAGTGCATGCCTGTAATCTCACCACTCAGGAGGCAGAGACAAGAGAATCAGAAATTCATTCTGATCATTTTGGCTATATATCAAGTTCATGGGCAACCTTGTCTTCTAAAAAATAAAACAACAAACCAGAATGGAGCCGAAAAATGCCAGAACATGCCAGGTGTTACCAGTAGCGCTTTGTGCAGTGTTTGTTACTGTGTGTGTACATTGCTGTGTGATCAAAAATGATCTTTCTCAGCGATGATCTTGTGTACTTAGCCTCCTGAATGCTGAGGTGACGGCCTTAAAACGCGTCTTTTACTGAGGGTCATGATCAAAGGGTTTGAAATGTACTAATATGCTGAAGCATTAACATATAAACGACTAGCACTGTAGTCAGCCTCTTGCACATTTAACTCATCACATCCTGCCACCCTCTGAAGCAGGAACATTGAAGCCACAGCCTTCACCTTAGAGGAAGACACTGAGGCACATGGGAATCAAGAGGCTTCTTGGGACACAAAGAAAACAGAGGGTGGCATCTTAATGGGGCTATTCCACCCCCAGAAGAATCTGCCTTGGTTATACAGTGCTGTCTCCTCTCTCAGCCCCCAGAGAACTGCCAGCCAGCCAGCCAGTCAGCCAGCATAGGCCATCTGAGGCCAATCCAGGGAGGGTGCTTGGTAGCATGCCCTAAGCAAAAATTCCACACGATGGCACTGTGGTACTCACAGTTTCCTCACAGAGAAGCTGGCAGTTCAGGGCGCAGGCTCCCTAAATCCTGCAGGGCTGGACTGCAGAG